TGTCAAATTGATGAATCGCCCTGTTTGTTCAGTGGCTGTCACCTGCGTATAAAATTTACTGTGGGATAAAAATTAAGTTCGATATTTCTTTTCTTGGACGTGATGGCGGAGATGGGAAGTAATGGCTCACTCAAAATTTCAGTTCGGAATAAACTAACTTGGACTGGACTATCCACCAACCTTAACAGTTGGGTATTTCCTAGGAATAAATGGAGTCTCATTCGCTTGCTTTACTATAAGATCCATAAAATCTTTCTGGAAGATATGGCAGATTTTGAACTCGAAAGTCGTAGCAAGACAGTATTGAATGATGGACACCCTAGAAGGTTTATCGTTAAGACTTAGCGAAACGGATTACGCCGCACCTAATTCAAAGATTCGGAATTAAAAGGTGGACATCTTGGCCGAAGTTTTGATGAGTCCTCTTTCAGAGAACAGCAGTAATTACCCTCATTCTGCTGGACTGAGGTCAAGACTCTCGGGCCATCGTCTCATTCGATAATGCGTGAGGGATAGACTTCTGTCCGCATCTAGGTGTGTCTACGAATCCGCATGACCCGGACTGGGCGTTGTGAACGGGGCTTTCAAAGCTTAAAAGTACCCGATTCGGTTTACCGAAAGTGAGGGACGAAAACAACTGCATCCGTATAACAGCACATAATGGGGTTAGGTCATGCAGCTCATTCAGACTCATCTTGTGAGCTAACTTATAAAGCTAGATGGAACTACTTCTGTGTATGTTAAGTATCACAATTATCAGTGTTTCATACTTCCCTGACACCATTTTACACTTATTTCACCACTTGAAACTGTTTTGTCCTATGTTCATTGACTAATTTTCTATTTTTTTCCAAATGAACAAAGCCCACGTCCAGCATCAGCTTTATCACGTGAAAATTGACTGAGATATTTGTCTGGAATTTCGCTGATTATGAATACGACTGATAATGAAACTGCTGAAAACAAATATCTCTTCGCTAACAAAAATCTCTTTCTTGATATTCATGAACAAGCCGGCCTGTCGCGAAAATAGTTGGTGTGATTCTAGTCCCCGCTAACTGCAGAAAGTAAAATCTTCCGCGCAAACACTGCCAATGTGCAGAAGTTTCCATGCGTGACATGTTCGAAGCGTCTGTCCATTGTCACCCTGCAGCCGACAAGACACATGGAGTCCGACGGCTCTTTCCTTAGACTCTCAAAAGCTTAACTCAGAATGCTTTCATTGCAGCTTGCCGAGCATATATTCGCTTTCATCTCAAGAGCAACACTCTGTTTGTATCCGCGCACCTGAAAAGAGACAACGCCATCTTGTAAAGTGCTCACAGTACAACTGCAAAGAAAGTGGTGGGCTACTGTACAAACCTGGCCTCGATCGCATAGTTGCTCCCACGCCGCACTCCGTGCAATACATGAGGACCAGGCAGAATATGATCGTGGGTGTAACATAGCCCGCAATTCCCTGCAACCTGACCAACTGCCATTAAGCTGCAATCAGACATCTCGCCTCAGAGGCCATCCATTATTAGTAAGGCATGGGGGTACGTGCAATGATAAGTGCCAACACTTTTGACGGTTAGAATGCGTAAACTGTGTAACTCCCTCTGTGGAGAAGCTGTTGCGGTTATTACTTCCTGTGCCTTATCAGGGAGGTGCGATTCACACTAGGTCTGCCAGTGGGGATGGTTTGTACCCAAGAGGCTACCTATTCACTTACTGATCAAGAGTAGCATAACTGCTAGTAGAAAGCTGAACAGTTATTGATTGGTTATCCTTGTCTCTCCAAGCACTTCAGAACCAGAGGAATGACTGTCCATACGTAGCAGGAAACAAATTCTAACAGCACAGGCATAGAACCCGAGGAACCACTGTTTACCACATCAGCGACGAGAAGTTCAAATTTTTGGAAGGACCAACCAGAAATATAGCTATAAAACCCACTCAATGTAGTTGGATGCAATTCTATGTAGAATTTGTCTATTTGATATGGCACACAGTGATGCAGCGCTATTCACCTGATGACGATACAGGAGATACAAGAACTTGAACACATTATGACAGACATCCGGAGTAACTCTTCCTCCCTAAATGTTGTTTAAGATTTGTAATACTCTCTGAAGAAATGTTTTGCGGGCTACACTAATAGATTCCTCTAAAGGCGAACTTGATGTTCACCCGAGGCCTCAGTGTTAGCCAACAGACTCAGTCGTTAACAAACTGGCAGTTTATATCAATTTCACTTTACTCTTCCGACATCCAACATCAATAGTGCCGGCAGAGAAAATTTGTTTCTTGAGCACTCACTTTTGCGTCTAGATGCCCGGTTCTCTCTGTTCTGTCATATTCCTTCAGTGGTGACAGGAGACACTACGTTTTTTAAACCTATAGATTCCACGGTGGTAACCATTTGTTCAAACGTACCTTTTCCTGCACAGTGTGGCTTGGTCTATCCGGGAGCAATGGAGCTGCTCATAAGATCAATCAACTTTTTGCTCTTTTAAGCGCCTGCTGGCAAACATCAGGTGTTACTTAAAGAGTTTTAGAAATTGGATGAGTAGGGAACTGGAAAGAGTGGAGTGAAAATTACTCGTGGAAAAATCGTGTTACTGGTAATAATGTGGAAAGGGATGCATCTTACCACAGATACAAGAGTTGGGGGATACAGTGGGCATAAGCATATCTCCATTTGCTACAAACGAACATTCGTGGTAAGCAGTTTGCATCCACGTGCCTGCCCAGTATTCGTTTGAAAGAGTCAAGTGATGAAGCTGTGGCTATCGGTTTATGTCACCAACGCAAATCAACGAATAAGGGTTTATTCTGGATCATAGGGCCGGCAGGAAAACCTTTGAAAATCGGTGTGATATCGGAACCACTGAGCAGTTAGTTTGACGAGCAGCACAACCCAGTAACACATCCTCTATCAACATCTACTAATATAGCAAAGTCTCAGGACTGAGATACAAAGCTGACGAACGTAAAGATATCGTCTAACCAAGTGTTTGCGAGACCCTCAACGCTGGGAATGGGGAGATCCCCGAGCTGCGGTGACATAAGACGGGTTGTCCTAAGCAACTGTGCCAAAGTCCTGAGCGCTCGCGTATCCAAACTGCTCACGCAGTCAATGGAAGTAAGTCAACTCCCCAAAGAATGGAAACTCGCCATCCTCTCACCAGTCTTCAAGGGAGGAGACCGAAAGAACCCACGTAACTACAGACCAATAGCATTACTCTCCATACTTTCCAAAATAATGGAAAGCCGGTTGCAAATGTCGTTTGGGACTACCTGAACAGAACCAACATTGTCCGCCCCACCCAGCATGGTTTTAGAACCGGACGGCCATTTGCCACAAACGTGATTACCACTTGGGATAACTGGACTACTAGATGGGACAACATGCAACCAGTTCACGTTATCTTCTGGGACTTGGCCAAAGCTTTCGATAGCTTCCCACACCATATTATGCTCGCCAAACCTGCAAAAGTGGGTATCACTGAACCACTCTTAACATGGTTTACAACACACCTAGAGGATAGAGAATCCTGCACTAAAGTAAACAGAATTCGATCAGCCTGGAGGAAAGCAAGAACAGGAGTTTCTCAAGGAGCAATCCTTGGACCACTCCTATCTTTATTTTTCATCGATGACCTCCCCATTAACTCTCCTCGTTCCTCCTCCTATTCGCCGACGACATCGAGATTTGGAGGACAACAGGTGACGAAGAGGAGCCTAGGATACTCCAAAACAACATGTTGCGGCTGGGTTCCTGGTCAGCTGCAAACGGTTTAAGCTTTAACCTGGAGGAGTGCGAGGTGATGTATCTTCGCACATCAGAGGCGATGAAAACCAGCTACACTCTTAACAAGCGTGCGGTCACCAAGGAGTCCACAGAGAGGGGAAATAGGACTAAACTTTTCTGACGCACTGGATACTACTGGCAATTATAAGGGAATGGGTACAGGAGCGAACGCCATTATGCACTTTCTAAGATGGAGGCTTGGATTACTAGCCCCAGAATTATTCCTTATGGTATCCGAAACCTATATCAGAGCACACTTAGAGATGTTCAGCACGGCAGCTCCCCCAACACTAAGGAGAGGAGCAAATGCTGTCGAGAAGGTACAGAGATGAGCAACAAAGTCGGTTGTCAGACTAACAGGCAAAACCTGTACGCAACTTCTCGGACAACTCAACTTGTTCGCACTAAGCCGTCGAAGAAAACGGGGGGATCTGATAACAGCCTACAAGATCATTCACCAAGTGGAATATCAAAATACGACAACGTTGTTGGTCAAAAACAGACAGTGCGGTGGGAACCCACTCGTATACCCCACCACAGGGCGAGGACTAGGGCAAGATCTTACCTCTTCCCCTTTACAGTACGTCCCTTACGGAATGCTCTTCCGAAGGAAATGGCCACAGCCAAATCAGTCAACTCCTTCAAACGACTGACGGAGGAGTATACGAGCGCAAATAGCTTACCATGAACATTTGGCAGTAGCAACTGATGATACACCTTCCCACCCATGTATTCCCGAATCCTGGTATCTACAATAAGACGCATCTCTCCTCCATATTGTTACCAGTCACATCTGTCTTTTATCTTTGTCACGGGTACTTTTTACTCCTCTTTTTCTCATTCGCCATTCACCCTGTTTCTAGCACTTTTTATGCAACGCTTAACAATTACTTGCGGGTGCCTACAACAACAAGAATTGCAAACAGTTGATTAATCTAGTCAGCAGCTCTGTCGCCCCCCAAAACAAATGAAGCCATAATTTGCAAATAAAATACCTTCAAATAGACAAACACTATCTCCAAAACTAAAGGCAGTAAGACGCAAAGACTTCTCTGACCATCGATGGAGTACAACTGAACAAAAGAACCAAGCCCTAATCTCTAGAAGCGAGAGCTCAGAAACTACAAGTTTCCTTTACTCGCATTATTGATGTTGGCTGTTGGAAACCAAACGCTACTTACCTACCAATAACCACTTGAAACCATTTTGATGGCGCCCTGTTCTTTCTGTAGGTCAGTTTTCGCAAGGTCACAGGTAACTTAGGTTAGCGTCCAAGTATTGGGTTTCATATGATATTTTTTATTTCATTGTTTGACATTTTCCATCTCCATATAACGTTAATTCATAATTCTTTTTTTGCGGGATTAAATTATGAATGATGTGAATTTTGGTGTATTTTCTTATAATATAAAACTTCAAATCTGAAGTTTTTGCTGAAGACAATTATCTTCGCTGTATTTTTCAATTCATTTGATTATTTTACCCGCGGAGGCATTTTTAAGACACCTGTAGAAGTATGTAGAATTCTGCAGCTCTTGTATTTAAATGCAAAAAAATATTTGGTTATTAACACAAACATTTTTTCCAAGAATATGCTTTCGAAGTTGTGCACAACCTAAGTCTTATTTAGCTCGGATAAGGTTGGTAGTTGAAGCAACGAAGTCCAATCAATTTTACGAGAGAGTTGATCGCTAAAACTAAGTATCAAGTATTCACTTTTAAGGATGGCCACCAATTTTTCTTGTGTTAGTCCTTGCTGCGGATATATCTTGTAATTTAGTTTCTCAGTAAACACATTGATCGAAGAAGCAGGTGTCACTTGCTAAGATAGAGTCCCAGTCGTCAGTCACTCGGTGGGCAGAATGAAGGTTCACGCTGAGTGTATTCGGTTGTGATTTTCGGATGGATACCCATTCAACCCAGGTGCACTTGAGTACTTTTGACAACTTTGGGGGAAAGGTTTGTCTATTGCAGGGGATTTGGTGCGTCTTCTCATTTGTGCTCTCAGCTAATTTTTCGGATATCTGCCCAAAACTTAGAAAGTGCCCACGAAGTGAATGATGACTGGGATACGGTGCTTTAGCACGGAGAGTGGAACACTTTCAGATGCCGGTTACGCCTAACCGTCAGTTCTTGGGTCAGTCTACCATATGAATTATAAACGAGCAATTCGTGTTAACTTGGAATTATTTTTAAAATCACTTACTTGTAGTCAACTATTCGTAATAACTATGGCCTGGATATTTATAATCTGGTGTTATAGGCAGTTTACAAAACTGGAAAACGTCTTCGTTACCTGCATTTTTTCCACAGTAATGTAGGAATTTTCCTATCCTATGATTGTACACATAGATTTCTCGGTTTATGATACACTTTCTGTTTTGTCTGCTTTTTTTCCGTTTTGGAAGTCTTAAATAAGATGGTCTTATTTTTTAAAAATCACGTGGTATAGCACTAGTTACCTACATGCAGTTGTCACCCACCATCATATATCGGTGGAAACTGTAGCATTCTCACCATTTAATTGGTCATCTCATTGACCAGGATATCACAACCACATCTTTTGATTTACCTTCCTTGTCCTTTGTCTTACATATGACCTCAGCAAAAGCCGCTTGTAGATTTCATCACATGTTATTGGATACCCGTCCAAACCTTTTCTTCATTCAAGTGTTGATGTCTATCGAAATAACCTTTATCTCATTTCAAGGACACGTTATACTGTTTTTTTCTTGTTTCCTTGTCCTTTTTCATTTTAACCTCCACCTTTTTGTGTCTCTATTGTTGCAGAACAGTTATGCTAGACGGTTTCATTGATGGTTTTAGCCATTCAACTCAGGAAAAGTTAGATTATATTCAATTACTCATATTGCAGTTAGCTTTTAGGCATCTTATTTTTTTTATATTTCATTCGACTTTCTAAACAGGTTAATCTACTCTCGCATTCTGCATGTATGCCATACTTCTAAAATCAGCTGGTGAACATGCCACTAGTCCCAATGATGACCCTTATGTTCAGGTAACCTATTGTTTAGTATTGTTTAGTAGCAATTGTCATGAATTTAGGTTTTGACCAAATCAGGTTTTACTGTAGATCTACTGGAGACGCTCGACTTCATGTATAACACTGCAACTTTAGCAGAATATAAAAATTGGCGAGATAATCATAGCTGTATTATTTTCAGTAGTCCACGTGCAGTAATTGCCTGTGTTAAAGCTGGACTGACAGGTTAGCTGACTTCTCAGACCAAATGTTTTTACTCACAGGAAATGAAAGTGATCTTTGTTTTGTCGTTGGCCCAAGCACTGAATTACAAGGTATTGATATTCGTAATTTCCTTCAATAATTATTCACTGTCATTCTTTATCTGTATGAAAGCTAAAAAAGCCGGATTTTCACCCAAAGGAGCTGATTCTGGAGATGCAGAAGAACTTTCAGGATTTATTTTAAAACATTTTGCCTCAAGTAATTTGTGCATATTAGGTTTTTATTTCACTCACTGCTTATTAATAATCTCATTTTACAGAATTGGACAAGCCCATTTTCTTTCCGGCTGGTCAGGTACACCGTGATACAATACCAAAAGCACTGGAAGCTGAAGGTAAGTGATTCAATAACAGATTGTTAATAGTTTGAAATGCAGGAAAGAAAGTAAATACTGTTATCGCTTACTCCTCAGTAGAAAATACCAAGCTTCATGAAAGGTTGAGGTTGAATTTATGTGTAAGTCACTTTTTTGAATGATTGGCTGAATATTTTATCATTTCACTTTGCCAAGTCGGAAATCATTCTTTTGGCAAAAGCCACACAGCTTTCTTGTGATCTAGTTACTGTCATATCTCTGTTAACAAAATGTTTTTATTTTTTTATACACTAGCCATCTAAAAGCGAGCTTACTGAACTTCTATGTAACCTATCAGGCTTTGTAGTAACCATTTGTTATGCTTTCGTAGGTTGACTTCGAATGATTAGTAGAAAAATACAATTTAGCTAGTTCTTGTGGTCAAGACTGACTTGTGATTAATCTACCGCATATTACCTTCTATGATTGTGTTGTGTAATCTGTAACATTTTTCTAAGATTTCTCGATTCATGAATATCAGTTATTAAAGTTCACGTACTAATTTTACATACATCTAGTACTTTGTTTTTTAAAAAGTCGCTTTCCACATAGGCATTCAAGGCATATGTTTAATTGGTTCGTTTCTGATAAAGGAGCTGTGCTTAACTTCATGCAGTCTACTTTTAGCTAGATCACAGGTTTAAAATTTGTTCCAGCTGTAAGCAAATATATATTATCTTTTGCTCTTACAACATGGGTATTACTTACAGAATAGTATACAATCATATATTTAAGTGTTAGGTTGCATTCCCACTTGTAGTGATTTCTTTAGTTTTTAGTTTATAATACATCAAATATACGTTTCTAAATATTCTAGACCAACTCAGTGAAACTGAAAACATTTTAATTTTACCTTCCGAGTACACCAGTTTCTACAAAGTGGATATTACTGTTTCTGTCAAAAAAGAAGAAACAGAAATCCGCTCAGTAACATTTTTCACGTCCATGCAGTAGGCAATAAACAAAAACTGTAATGTGAGGGCTAATAACAGTACTTGGTTGCCCAAATCTCAGTAAGCGGAGTGGCATTTGAAACCATCACTCACTGGTTGAAAGTTAAATCCCTTGACCAATAAGTTATGAACCTTCAATATGTTCATGCAAACACAGTCCTTCTTTCTAATTGCTTCGTAGTAAACTGACTACAGCAATAAGATCAAAACGGATCCATATATTAGAGTCACACTTTAGTGTACAATTCATAACAAAAGTGAGTAGTGGCTTCATGGGTTGGCTCTAAGTCTGATAGCTTTGAGTTTTTCTGCTACCGTAATCTTACATGAATATGTAAAATAGTATAAATCAAAGCAATTATTTTTAGAATGTGTCATTTGAAGTGGAAATCTCGCAGGTGAAGTTTTAAAAACCGTTATTCACTTTTCAAACAAACAGTTTATATCACTCCAGTAACCGCATTGTGAACGCAAGCATATTACTCTTAGACGTGTACTACTATTCGATGCAATTTTTTGAAATCTGTAGACACCACAGTCAGTCAATATCAACCTAGAACAGGCCAGTACGGTGTAACAGTCCAAGTGGCCACACCACATCAGCACATCAAGCAAAACAGCACTACGATGAAAGGTGACGAAATAATGAAGAAACAGTCAAAAGCAGTGAAAGAGAAAAAGAAGGTAGAAGGAAATATTGAATTCACCTTAACGACAACCTGAAGATAATATGTGGATACATCTGCATCACTGGGATAGATTCTTAGCCATATAACAAACAGTCTGCAACCAGTGGTCTGTGTTGTCGCAGACACCCCAATCGGCTATTCTAAAATTCCCTACATAGCTCAAACTAACAGTCGAAAACTTCATGCAGTGATATTATGTTCTAGTCTGGCTGTTTTCCAACCTGAACCTACTTCAGCTAATATTACGTGATGAGGCAAAAGGTGACTGGGCATGCGTAACACGTGTCCCAGCCACCTGAGTTGATGATTCACGACCGCATCAATTGACTTTCATCTCGTCCCTAAAACTCCACACCTGACTTCTGCATTACTGACATGATGACATCACAACACACGGTCTGTGCTACAAAGGCATCAGTGGTCAAACACCTGAAGCCTTCTCATGTACTCTACCAATAATGGCCCTGTTTCACACCTGTCAAGTAGAACAGATTGAACTGCAGCTCAGTACACCTCAGCCTTAATAGCCAATCGGATATGGCGGCGGCGCCACAGATGGCGTTAGTTGGTGGAACCCAGTCGGGTCTTTTATATCCATGGAGAGATTCCGTCGGCTACTTAACTACCAGGCCTGATCTAGCCTTCTAAGTAAGTGAAGTGTTCAACACACTCAACCACCTCACTCTACTGTTAGCCAGCACACTGTTGAAGATCAGTCCGGGAACCACAGTTCCCATTTGGTTGGTGAAAAACATCTTAGATATTCTCAAATTTCCGCCCAAGGTGTTCAGCATCTTTACAGGACTATTTCATCTGCATAATTTACACCTACTAGGGATTTTTCTGTGATCAGATCAATCCCTGTTGAGTCAGATGATAAGATGGAGACCTTTATAAAAACATCTATGATAAAATTGAATGGGAATAGAAAGTATGCATTCATGACGAATAACGCTAAGTGATCTGTCTGTGTCCACCGTTGAGTTGAGCTAGGTGAACACCATGTCAGACAGTCTCTTTGTGTCTGAAGTTCCTGCTGTCCACAACTAAATGGTTATCTGAGCACAGATGTAGCAGGCGATACCCCTTATCTGTTCGTTCGGTTGGGATTCAGAACGCACCACCTAAGTACCTTTCTGCCTGACTTCGCGTACTTATTTGTGCATTGAAATCACCTGCAACAACTACCATATCTGAGTGATTGGCTTTCAGCAAAAGGTTAGACAGTTTTCAGTAGGAGTCATCCTTCACTTCATCCGAACTCTAGTCAATGGGTGCGTGAGCAAGGATTACAAATAGGCCAAAGGGAGTTTTGCTATTTTTAGTCCTCACTGTGCCCTTCAGTCAAATAATACTTAGGCGACTGTTGACTGAGCAGTGCCCGCTGATTTATTGCTTAATTCTACATCTACAACTGCAAGACCACAGGAACTAGCCACTGTTACTCCAGTGAGTTTTGTGGACTCACCACATTGACGGGATGAGATTAAGTGAATAACCACTCTTTTGTCCTGTATGTCTATTTCACAAACATAGCATATATCAATGGCCTGAGATGCTAGAGTTTTGACCAATGAAGCTTGTTGGCCATTTTGATAGAGGGCGAGGACGTTAGAGGCTCCAGTGTAGTTTGAGGTGTGTCCTTGTTGCTGACACAGCGTAAGGTTATTTATTGAGATATCTGAAAATGAATGGTTAGTGCGTGATCGCCGAGCCCAAGAGTTATGTGCTTGAGGCCGGGCATACAACGCCTTTTAAGAAGTTCGGGATTTTGGTTTGTAAGTCCAAGTCGCCGTGGGGCAGTGGGGTTGTGCTATTTTTGTCCCAACCTTTTCTAAGCCCTTTCCCTTCCCACCAGAAAGGTAACATTGGCATGATACTGTCGGTCATCCAGGAGAAATGTCTCACTATTGTTACACCCCACGCAGTGAAGAGCACGACTCCTCACTCGGACCCACATCATAACGTAAGAATTTACACTACGACAGTAACTGCTTTTTGTCTAACTACTATCCAACAGACCTTTCTGCTGTAGTAAGACCTCAAGGAAGCAAACGTTATACCAACATAGTTACTTGAGTCAGTATTATATGCACGCCCGACCATCACGTCAAGATAGTAGCTATCGGTCGGGAAAGGCTACCTCCGGTAGCTCTGGAGACACCAGTCACCCACAGTAACCTCTAAGTTGATATGACCTGATTACCCAGCTGCGATTTGGATTCATGTACTCTTAGTTACTATGAGTGGTCCCATATATTCATATCATTTTTTGATGTATATGGAGTTCGTTTTAATTTACCTAGATGCTTGATTCATGGGTCCAAATCTCAATTTATCTACTTTGGTTTACAATGCAAACAAGTGTTGTTCGCTGTTGCACTTTAATTTTGGTTCATAACTTAGCGTGTATATTGGTACAACGGTAGTAATTTTCGCTTTTTATCGGTTATCTTCAACAATTCTGACTTGACAACCAAATTTTAATGTAGACACCATAATGTAAGTCGGCGTGAGGAGGGTTTTCTTTTATCCCCGATCACTATTTAATCCCACTTTTTTTTCTCATTGTTATAAGTGTATGTAAATTAGTTCTTTCTTTTACTTACTAGGTAAAACATATTGATTCTAAGAATTTTAAACTTATTTTTACTGAGAAATTGTAATTGATGACGACAGCATTATGATGTTAATATTGTCCTTTTTTCGTTTTCATAGGAAGGGAATCCGATACCTGATTGTATAGTATTTTTTAGTCCATCTGGTGTTTCATTAACTGAGAGTATACTAATGACTGAGATAAAGCCACATCGTCCAAATATTAAGGTAAGCATATTTTTTCTAATATGCTCACTTTATTTTAGTAAAAACGTTTCTTGCTATCTTTCTATATTTAAAGCGTTTTTGTCATAAGTGTTCTCGTGGCGTTTAATGTCTCATCTGTTGAGTTTTACAAAACATTGTTTTATCAGGAACTATGGTGGTTTCTGGGAAAAGAAATTGAAGCCAATGATTATTTCTGTGAACGCCCAAAGTTTCGAATTTAAGTCTACGTGATAAGATAATGTAAAAAAATAAAGGGTATTCGGTGTTCAGGATAGGCTTATTATCATTATTATTGTTATTATTATTATTTATCCCTTGGGTTCCTAGTGGAACATAGAGCTTCAGTAGCACGTCTCCATTCCATTCTGTGCTCTGCAATCTTTTGAACCTGGCTCCACGACTGCTCAGAAGCTCTCATTTCTTCCTCATATGGTCTCCTCCGTGTCACCCTCGCCTTAGACACCCAACTCGCAGTTTCCCGTCTGGGTTCCACTCGACGGCCTGGCCTGCCGCATGATATCCCCAGTCGGCCTTCTCAGTGCATGCCCAATCCATCTCCATTTCCTTCTGCATATTTGTTCAGCAATAGGTTCTTGCTTCGTTGGTTCGTTGCCAGAGTTCCTTGTTGCTTATTCTGACTATTCTGTCCATCTGAGCTTCAGTATCGAGCCAGCGTATGCAGTTGTTGATGAATATGTGTAGTTTGTTGAAAATGCTTTTCGTAACTCACCAAGTCTCTGAACCGTAAAGAAGCACTGACTTGACTGGCGTTGGTGTTGAAAATCCGGATGTTGTTCACGCTTTATGCTGACTGCAGAAGATCTCCACACTGGTTTCAGGTTAATGAACGCCTGTCTTTCTTTTCCGTTCCTGGCTTTGACATCCTCGTCTGTGCCTGTGCCGCCTGTAGTTGAAACAATGGTGCCTAGATAGGTGGAAGAGGCTACTTCCTTTAAGTTTCTCCCGTTGATGGTGATTGGTGCTTGTTGTTGTTGTTGGTGACGTCGGTCGGGTATCATCATCACCTCTGTCTTCTCTACGTTCACTTGAAGTCCCGTCTTCCTTCGCTGTCCTGCCTCTTCTGTCAACTTGTTGGTTTTCGCCTGTAGACCTTCGAGTTTGTGCCACAAGACATTAACCACGAGTCATCGGCGGAATCGAAATCTCCTGGGATCTTTACCCTGGTCCAGCCAACGTATCCCCCTCTTCTCGCTCCTCACGGTTTGCTGCATGATCCAGTCTGCCACAATCAGGAAGATCATGGATGATAGTATGCAGCCTTGTTTTACTCGTGTCTTCACTTCAGAGGTATCATCACTGAGCTTCGCATTGTGAATTACTTGGCATGTAGCGTCTTCATATAGTTGTTGAATGAGATTGATAAAGGTTTGTGGTATTTCGTAGTGTTGGAGCAGTTTCCAAATTATTTCTTGGTCGACGCGGTCAAAGGCCTTTTGAAAGTGGATGAAGTTGAGGTAGAGTTGATTTGACTGCCATTTTATACTCTGTTCTATGATAATGCGCAGTATAGCGTTGTAATTTGATCCGCACATGATTTTTTTGTTCCTGAAGCCGGACAGCCTGTTCCGGTCGTGGTTTAGAATCCAGTGCATCCTTCAGTCTCTCCAGGATGATGTGGCTTAATATTTTGCTTGCTCTAGGTGGATAGGAGCATGATTCCGCGCCAGTTCTTGCAAAGAATTATGTCTTGTTTTTTGGGAGTTTGACAAGGGAGTCCTTCTTCCAAATAGTAGGCAGGTAGCTTCCCTTCTTTCCAAACCTTCAGCAGTAGTGGTGTGAGCATGTCCACTGTTGTCTCTGTGTCTGTTTTCAGTGCTTCTGGCGGGATTCCATCTGGTTCTGCTGCTTTCTCGCATTTCTGTAGCTTTATGGCATTCACAACTTTGACCTTCGTCTGTGGGCTTGTGTTGACTGGTAGTTCTGTGGCTGCTGGTGGTATTTCTGGACGAAGTGCAGATGGTGGTGGTGGTCTATTCAAGAGCTTTGCGAAGTGATCAGTCCATCGTTTCCTTTGTTTCTCTTCTTTGGCGATCAGATTTGCCTCATCATCTTTTATTGGTTTCATCTGTGTTGATCTCGTTCCTGCCAGATAGTAACGTGGTTATTTGATATAGAGCTGTCAGGTCTCTTCTATCTGCAGCCTGTTGTGCTTCACTTGCCAATGTGTCGTAGAAGTGTCTTTTGTCTTTGCGTGCACTCTTCTTCACTTCTTTGTCCAGTATTTTATGGGTGGTACTCAGTTCCTCCTCTCTCTGAGCATCCTTGCACCATGCTCCTCTCCCCGCTCTACCAACTTCCATGCATCCGTCGAGATCCATTCCTTATCTTCTTTCTTCCTCTTTCCTAACATGGTTATGCAGGTTTCTTTCCACAATGCTTTCAAAGAGTTCCAGTGATCATCCACACTGGTTTCTTCACCAATGTTGCTCGATATCTCCTATTTTTTCTTGATGGCTGATGTGAAGATGTCGTTTGTAGATTCGTCCTTCAGTTTCTGTTCTGGGTGTTGAACTTGAACTGTGGTCTTTTGCCAACTTATTGAAGGTTTTTAACTCCATTTTGAAGGTTCCTTGCAGTAGATAGCGGTATGAGCATATATCGGCTCCTCTTCTTGACCTTGTGTCAAGTAGACAGCGTTTCTGTTTTCCTGAGATTGAGATGAAGTTGATCTGATTTTTAGTGTGTCCTGGTGTCTGGTGAAATCCATATCGCTTTTTGGACATCCTTGTGCTTGAACACACTGCTTAGCCTCCAATCACCAAATTGTAGAATGCACAGAATTCTGCAGACAGTTCTCCATTCCCGTTCATTGCACCGAGTGCTTCTCTACCCATGGTTAGTTCTCTTCCTGTGTTGTTCGCTCCCAGTTTGGCGTTGGTGTCGCCGATTAGAATTTTGATATCGCCAACTGGTGTGGGTCTTGTCCAGTGTTGATTGCAGTTGTCTGTAGGACTCCTCCTTTTTCTCTTGCTCTGCATTATTTGTAGGTGCATAGCGTAGCATTGTATGATTGTGACTCCCGACCGATAGCTGCTACCTTGACGTGGTGGTCGGGCTTGCATATCACAATGACCCAACGAGCTATGCTGGTGGAACGCTTGTTCCCTCGAGGTCCTACCATACCAGAAAGGTCTGTTGGGTAGTGGTTAGACGAAAAGCAGTTACCGTTATAGTGTAAATTGCTACACTATGATGGGGGTCTGAGGGCGAAGTCGTACTGCTGCTAGCTGGATGGGGTGTGACAGCAGTAAGGTGTTTCCCTTGGATGACCAGCAGTGCCAAGCTGATGCTGCCTTCTCAGTGGAAGGGGGGGTTAGAAAAGGTCGGCCCCAAAAATAACACACTCCACCACGCCCCACGGTCTGCCGGGCCGGCGGTGTTGGTTCACTTGTCGTTTCCTTTCGCCCATCCGGCCCCAAAAATACAAAAATTCAAAATAATCATACTCAAAAGGCTGGGTGTGACAGGCCTCAAGCAGATGTCCGATGGGCTCTGCGGTCACACAAATCTCTTTCAGGTACCTTAAGAAGAAATAGCCTTCCACGGTGTGGGCAGCCGGGAAGTGTCAACCGCCCTCACAACTCTGTCAGCACCCAAGTTTCTTCTGACTGCTATCCTCCTCCTCCATCATTACCTTCTAATCTTCCTTCACGTCTCTTAATTAATGATGCTGCATCATCTTCAATTTCTCCTACCTCTGCAGCCTTCGACAACGATCTGAGTCCACAGAACAGCATCCCTGGTCTCCTTAAACCACGCTCCAAATTACATATTGGAGCCTTCAATGTCCGCACCCTCCGTCAAATTGGCCAACAGGCTTCGTTGGCAAAGACTCTAGCAACTCGGGCATGGATGTGTGCTGTGTTTGTGAGACACGCATACAGGACCCAAGTGTGGTTATTCACCTGACCTCTCCTGACCAATCTGGTGAATCTGCAAAATTCACCCTTCGAGTTTCTGGAGATTCGATAGCTAGCTCTCGTGGTCTTGCAGGTGTAGGTATAGCATTAAGCACCAGGGCAGAAAACTCACTACTAGACTGGATCCCAGTTGATAGTCGCCTCTGCGCTATGAGGCTGAACGGCACAGTGAGAACTAAAAGGAATAGTGAGACTCGCCGTTGTCTCTTTGTAATCTCTGCTTACGCACCCACTGACTGTAGTTCGGATGAAGTGAAGGACGAGTTCTACCATAAACTGTCTAACCTCCTCTCGAAAGCCAAACGTTCGGACGTAGTGGTTGTTGCAGGTGACCTCAACGCACAGGTGGGTAGACTGAGTGAGGCAGAAAGGCACTTAGGTGGCACTTTCGGAATCCCAGCTGAACGTACAGATAACGGTGATCGCCTATTACAACTATGCTCAGATAACCGCCTATTTTTAGCCAGCACAAATTTCAGACATAAAGAAAGGCACTGTCTGACCTGGCGTCCACCGAGCTCGACTCAGCGATGGACACAGATAGACCACATTGCTATTAGTCATCGCTGGAGAGGATCGGTGGAAGACTGCCGCTCCTTCTGGAGTACGTGTTTGGACAGCGATCATGCGTTGGTCCGAGCACGTATATGCCTGCGTCTCAATGGACGTAGAAAAAATTTGGCAACAAAACCACTACGAGTTCTGCTGGACAACGAAAACACCAAAGCCGTGTTCAGTGAGAAGTTGGCTAGGCAGTTATCGGAACAAAAGACTGTCACTCATCCAGAAGAAGCTTGGTGCCATCTTCAGTCTACTGTAAAAGCAGCACTGGAGACTGTAGCCGACTCCAAGATAATGGCTAAAAAGAGCCAGTGGATATCAGCAGCTTCTTCCAAACTAATGGATGCACGTGAATGCATCCCTGCAGGCTCTGAGTACAATGAAGAGCGAGCGCAACTTAAAAATAAACTGACGAAAAGTCTGCGCAACGATCGTGAACAGTGGTGGGCAGCAAAGGCTAAAGAGATGGAAAAGGCAGCGGCGATCGGTAACAGTAGA